TGGCAGTGTGGAGGAGCAGAGGGATCTTGGGGTTCATGTCCACAGTTCCCTGAAAGCTGCCACCCAGGTGGATAGAGTTGATAAGAAGGCGTATGGTGTGTTAGCTTTTATTAATAGAGGGATTGAGTTCAAGAGCCATGAAGTTATGCTCCAGCTATACAAAAGCCTGCTTCGGCCACATCTGGAGTATTGTGTCCAGTTCTGGTCACCTCATTACAGGAAAGATGTGGAAGCATTGGAAAAGATGCAGAGGAGATTTATCAGGATGTTGCCTGGAATGGAGGGAAGGTCTTACGAGGAAAGGTTGAGAGAGCTAGGGCTTTTCTCTTTAGAACAACGAAGGATGAGAGGTGACTTGATAGAGGTGTACAAAATGATCAGAGGTATAGATAAGAGTAGACTGCCAGAGACTTTTTCCAAGGGTGGAGGTAGCTATTATGAGGGGGCATAGATTTAAAGTGAGTGGAGGTAGATATAGGGGAGACGTCAGAGGTAGGTTCTTTACTCAGAGAGTGGTCGGGGCGTGGAATGCATTGCCGGAGAGGGTAGTGGAGTTGGCCTCATTAGAGGCATTTAAGCGGCTATTAGATAGACATATGAATGATAGTATAAGGTAGGGGAGGAGGTTTGATAGACCTTAGGATTAGGGTAAAAGCTCAGCACAACATCATGGGCCGTAGGGCCTGTACTGTGTTGTACTGTTCTATGTTCTATATTAATAGTTCAGATTAAGTGTTTGGAATGTGAGAATGGCAGAACAATGGTATTATTTCCAGCTCTAATACGACGTTAAAACCAGAAGACGAAGGAACAGGAGTACGGCATTCAGCCCATCAAGCCCACCATTCAATAAGATCATGGCTAAACTGATGTCCTCAACTCCACCTTCCTGCCTTTCCCCCATAACTTTTGACTTACTTATTGATTAAAAGCAGTTTATCTCAATCTTGAATATACTTAAGGACAATCCACCATAATCCCTTGTATAAAATTCCACAGATTCACTATCCTCAGAAGAAACTTCTCATGTCTCTCTTGAATGGGCGATTCCATATTCTGAGGCCCTGTGGTCATAGACTCTCCCACAAGGGGAAACAAGCTTTCTACATCTACCTTGTCAAGTCCACGAAGAATCTGCATTTTCCAATAACGTTGCCTCTCATTAAAAGGGAAAAATAAATAAAGATAAACTATTTCCACTGGTTGGATCTTCTAGAACTAAGGGGCAAAGGCTAAAAATTAGGGCCAGACTGTCAGGAATATGTTAGGAAGTACTTATACATACAAAGGGTGGTATAGGTTTGGAACTCTTTTCCACAAATGGCAGTTGATGCTAGATCAGTTGTTAATTTTAAATCTGATTAAATACATTTTGTTGTAGGCCAAACACAGTTTACTTTGGCAACATAGTTGGCATGGACCAGTTGGACCGCACCGTCTGTTTCATGCTGTATGACTATGATTCTAAGCAAAGTATTAAGAAAAATTGGCCAAAGACAGGCATATGGAGTTAGGCCACAGATTAGCTATTGCCTCATTGAATGGCAGCACAGACTCGAAGCACTGAATGGCCACTCCTGTTTGAATGTTCTAAACTTTAATGAATAGAGGCCCAATAAATCATTATTCCCTGACAGGCAGACAAACCTGGCCACTGCAGTGAAAGCATCTAATCCTAATCACCAGACCACCAAGAAAGTCATGAAATGTTAAATGTTACTCTATCAGGACCGTTGATTTATAATAGCAATCAGTGTTTAAGGTAGCAACACAAAGCCAATCAACCCCAATCTAACCTGCTCTGTCTTTCAACAGGATTATGACACAGTCAACATTCACGTTCACTTTCCTGTCCTTTCCCCATAACCTTCGATACCCCATCTGATTAAGAATGTATCTGAGCCTTAAAATATACAAAAGGACTCTGCCCCCACAGCTAACTGTGGCAAGGAGTTCCACAAACTCTCCACCCTCAGAAAAAAAATTCCTCCTCAGCTCAGTTTTAATACCTTAATTCTGAGAATATACACTCCAGTCCTAGGCTCTCCCATATGGAAAGGATATTTTCCCTTCTCAATTCCCGTAAGAATCCTATGTTTCAAAGCGATCACCTCTCATTATTGTAAATTCCAATGAGGTAGACTGGTTAGCAAGGTTAGATCACATGGAATACAGGGAGAACTAGCCATTTGGATACAGAACTTGAAGGTAGGAGACAGAGGGCAGTGGTGGAGAATTGCTTTTCAGACTGGAGGCCTCTGACAAGGATCAGTGCTTGGTCCACTGCTTTTCATCATTTATATAAATGATTTGGATGTGAACATAGGACAGATGGTTAGTAAATCTGCAGATGACACCAAAACTGGAAGTGTAGTGGACAGCCAAGAAAGTTACCTCAAAATCCAAAAGGACCATGATCAGATGGGCCAGCAGGCCAAGGAGTGGCAGATGGAGTTTAATTTAGAGAAATGTGAGGCACTGTATTTTGGAAAGGCAAATCAGGGTAGGACTTATACACTAAATGGTAAGGTCCTGGGGAGTGCTGCTGCACAAACAGACCTTGGGGTGCAGGTTTATAGTTCCATGAAAGCGGAGTCACAGGTAGACAAGATAGTGGAGAAGGCATTTGGTATGCTTGCCTTGGTCAGTGCATTGAGTATAAGAGTTGGGAAGTCATGTTGTACAGGACATTGGTTAGGCCATTTCTGGAATAGTGCATTCAATTCTGGTCTCCCTACTACAGGAAGGATGTTGTGAAACTTGAGAGGGTTCAGAAAAGATTTACAAAAATGTTGCCAGCATTGGAGGGTTTGAGCTATCGGGAAATACTGAAAAGGCTGGGGCTATTTTCCCTGGAGCATCAGAGACTGAGGTATAGAAGTTTATAAAATCATAAGGGGCTTCAACAGGCCAAGGTCTTTTTCCTCAGGGTAGGGGAGTCCAAAACTAGAGGGCATAGGTTTAAGGCAAGTGGGGAAAGATATAAAAGGGACCTAAGGGACAACTTTTTCTGCAGGGGGTGTGCGTATGTGGAATGAGTTGCTAAGGAAGTGGTGGAGGCTAGTATAATTACAACATTTAAAAGGCATCTGAATGGGTATATGTATAAGAAGGGTTTAAGGCGGCCAAATACAGGCAAATGGGACTAGATTAGTTTAGGATATTGGTCGGCATGGACAAGTTGGACAGAAGGGTCTGTTTCCATGCTGTGCAGCTCTATGACTCGGAGTCCCAACCTGTTCAACCTTTGCTCATAAGACAATCCGTTCATACCATGGAAAATCCTACTGAACCTTTCCTAAACTATCTCAAATGAAATAATATTTTTTCTTAAATAAGGGGGCCAAAACTTTACACAGTACTTGAGATGTGGTCTCACCAGCACCTTGTACAGTTGTAGCAAGACTTCTGTCTGTTATACTCTAACTCCCTTGAAATAACAGCCAACATTCCATTAGCTTTTCTGATTGCCTGCTGCATTTGTGTGCTCGCTTTCTGTGCAGTATGTAGGGCCCCCTGAAGGGCTTTTTTCTGCTATAGACCCTTTCCCTCTGCTGTAGACCTCTATGACACAACATTAAGTCATACGACCAGTAAAATATCATATGAACCAAAGACATTTTCATACTGCCACATCATATGCTTCTTCTCCACACCCTTCTTGAATCTCAGTAAAGTACAAGTATAAGCTTAAGTAATGCGTCTAATAGGTCTAATGAGAAGGAAAACAACCAGCAGTTTTCGCAAGTCTGATGGAACTGCAGTACTCACAACTTATAAATGTATTACTGGTAACAGCCAGAGTAGGGATATTTTGAGTATGAGCAAAGAACATTTCACAAGTACAGGGAGAAGACAGGACAATGGCATTAAGAAATATATGATCGAATGAAATTGATAAAAATCCTGATCAGTCGTGGAATGAAAGGTTACAGGAAAAGGGCAAGAAATAGAATGTCAGATCAGCCACAAAACGAATGAATAATGGAGTAGGCTCGAGGGGCTGAATGGCCTTCTCTCATTCCTATTTCTTATCGAATTGCAGAGCAGACTTGATGGACTGAATGTCCTAATTCTGCTCCGAGTTCTTAGTCTTATAACAGCGACACTATTTATTTTGTCATAGCTATATGCTAAATAAACTCAATAATAGCCATCATATTGATGCAAAGGGCATGAACATTCAACACCATTGAAAATTGTATATCTGAATCCCAAAGTTACTAAATTACAAGTTTTAAGTGTATATTTTCAAGGTTTGCAAATTGAGATGTCTGGCCACCCTGAAAGACAGGGTGGGCGGCAAGGTAATAATCTTCACTCTCTAATTTGTCCCCTTTCAATTGACTTGTCATTAGAGAGGCATGGTAGAAATGGTAGAAAATAACAATCCTCCCACCTATAACTCATAGGAAGCGTGCGTCGAGGAACAAAACTTCATTCCACTGTGATTTAATTAAGATTAAGAATATTTTGTGTCGTTTTACCACTGTACCCTATATTGCTCAGTGTCATGTTTTCGGAGTTTCCATAAATATAAGTTGGCTCTCGAGATAGCCCGAGGTTGAGTCACCGATAAATTCCCTCTGGAAATGCTTCTATCAGAAGGAAACCAGGATCTAGAATGTTCGCGCTGGAGAAAAAAAAGTTAATGTATTGCAAAAGCAAAACGGAACTTTTCCCCCATCGATATTATCTGGACGACAGGAAAGGCTCTTGGCCCATTAACTGTGACGCAAATAAATGATGAATACAATATGCGCTCGATGCTGAACAACAGCAACAAACCGATCCCAGCTCGAAGGCCTCACTCAGTGACAGCGCCGCACCTGCTGTCACCAGAGCCGAGAAGGTTGAAATAGGACGGCCTAGAAATATACAGGATCACTGCTTTTAAGTCAACTTCATAAACCGACCAGCTGTTTATTCGGCCCCTCATTAAATCAAATGATTTCTATTAAAACTAACAAAACCACAGAAACTAAACTAAAACGACTTACGTCACGTCGGTATTTAACACGACAACGGTACAAAGTTCCCTCCACAGAGACAAACTGACCCCGCCGACTGTGCCGCCCCGTCCCTCCAAACCGTCACCTGGCCGGCCCCGCCCTCCACGTCGTCAGCCGGCCGGGCCGGCCCCGCCCCTCCCCTCCCCTCCACATCGTCATCCCGACCGCTCCGCCCTGCCTCTATGTCATCCAGCCTGCCCCGCCCCTCCACGCCGTCGGCAAGCCAGCCCCGCCCTCTTACCTCAATATTTCGGGTTCAATGACCTCTTTTAATTGAGTTCTGTCTGCAAGTACTGCCATAGTGTATCCGCTATTCCCGTTGTGGCCTCCTCTACATCGGGGAAACCAAGCAGAGGCTTGGGGACCGCTTTGCAGAAGACCTACGCTCAGTTCGCACTAAACAACTGCACCTCCCAGTCGCGAACCATTTCAACTCCCCTCCCATTCCTCAGACCACATGGCCATCCTGGGCCTCCTGCAGTGCCACAACGATGCCACCCGAAGGTTGCAGGAACAGCAACTCATATTTAGCTTGGGAACCCTGCAGCCCAATAGTATCAATGTGGACTTCACAATCTTCCGCATCCCAAAACCAGCCCAGCTTGTCCCCACCTCCCTAACCTGTCCTTCCCCTCCTCCCACCTCAAGCCCCACCCCCATCTCCTACCTACTAACCTCATCCCGCCTCCTTGACCTATCCGTTCTCCCTGGACTGACCTATCTCGTCCCTAACTCCCCACCTACACTGGCTCCATCCCTGCCTCTTTGACCTATCTGTCTCCTCTCCACCTATCTTCTCCTCTATCCATCTTCTATCCACCTCCCTCTCTCTCCCGATTTATTTCAGAATGCCCTTCCCCTCCCCCATTTCTGAAGAAGGGTCTAGGCCGGAAACGTCAGCCTTCCTGCTCCTCTGATGCTGCTTGGCCTGCTGTGTTCATCCAGCTCCTCACCTTGTTATCTCTGCCAGACTTGCCTGCGTTTATCCAGCAATTTCCGTTTTGTTTGATTTTCAGCATCCGTAATTCTTTGTTTTATTTAAGGCAGGTTTAGCTTGTTAAAAGTAAGGAAGCAAAATGCTGTTATTAGATGAAGCACATTAAGAAAACAGCAACCTCCCCTTTCAATGTGAGGGAAAGATCCTCACCTTTCCAAGATGCAAAAACCCCAAAATCAAAAGCAGTAGAGTCATAAGCCCTTTGGCCCAAAGTGTCCATGGCAACCAGGTTTTCTAAACAGCACTAGTTTCATTTGTTTGCATTTAGCCCATATCTCTCTCACTTTCCTGTCCATGTACCTGTCCAAATATCTTTTAAATGTTGCAGTTGTATCCACCTCTAACACTTCCTTCAGCAGTTGATTTGATATCTGCACCTCAGCTCCCTTTTAAATCTTTCCCCATTCGCCCTCTAGTTTTGGACTCCCGTACCGTAGGGAAGACCTTTGCTATTCATCTTCTCTACACCCTCATTACTTTTTAAACATCTATGAAGGTCACCCCTCACCATCCTCAGCTCCAAGGCAAAACAAAAAGTGCCAGCCTATCCCTATAACCCAAAGCTTCAAGTCTCAGTAAGGACGTAAGTAATAGGAGCTGGAGTAGGCCATCTGGCATGTTGAGCCTGCTATGCCATTCTATAAGATCATGGCCGATTTTTTCGTGGACTCCGGTCCACTTATCCACCCATTCACCAAAACCCTTAATTCCTTTACTTTTTAAGTCTGTCTTTGCCTTAAAAACATTTAACAAGGTAGCCTTAACTCCTCCAATGGACAGGCAATTCTACAGATACACAATCCTTCGGGTGAAGGTGTTCGTCCTTAACTCAGTCCTAAATCTGCTCCCCTTATTTTGAGGAAATGTTCCCCCAGTTCTAGTTTCACCTGCCAGTGGAAACAACCTCCCTGCATCTATCTTATCAACTTCCTTCATAATTTTATATGTTTCTATAAGATTTACTCCTTGTTCTTCTAAATTCCAATGAGTATCGTCCCATAGTTATGTTCTTGTAAATCATTTTTGCACTCTTTCCAGTTTAATAACATCCTTCCTATAGCAGGGCAGCCAGAACTGTAATCAGTATTCCAAATATGGCCTTACCAATGTCTAGTGCAAATGTAACATGATGTCCCAATTCCTTAACTCAATGCTCTGCCAAATACCTTCTTCACCACCGTGTCTACCTATCATGCCAATGCCAAGGAACTGTGTATTCCACTTGGTGGGATTTCTGGTCAATAAGCGGCAGAAATCCCACTCTGAGATCATTTAGCTTGCCTCCAGCACTTTATGGCTGTGGTGTAGGCTTCTAACTGGCCAGCCACCAGAAATTTTCTTCCTTGAGGTGCAGCCCCATCTGCAGTCCCCACCCCATCATTTTCTGCACATAATTTCTTGTTTTCTGTTCCCCTTGAATACTGGAAGCGTGGTATGTTGATAATATGGACATCGTACTTTGCAGACAGAAAGAACATGTATACACATGTTTCCTGTTTCAACACAACAAAATAGATGACATCCATTCTCCAGTTCATTTGTCAGGGCAATGCCTTGACCAGAGTCACTGTTTTGTGTAAGATTTAAACAAAACTTAGCATTCAACTGCCAGTCATCATTAACCAATGCTTTCCCCATGTTACACCCTCTCACAATCAGAGTCCACTTCCTAACCAATCAGCACTCTCCTCTCATATACTATGTTAAATTTCTTATTTGTCACGAGTTGTCCTGATTAGTGTGAAATCAAAAGCTTAAAAAAGTTCTCTCAGCAATTTTAAAGGATTTTAGATATGTTTTATGGAACATTCAGATGAACTCTGTCATTTGGGATGATAGTTATTCATTGCGAAGTGACCTCACGTGCTGTTAACAGATGCATGAATTGTTAATTGGTGCCACCTTCTCTTGGAGATTTATGGAGTGGTAAGCTAAAACGAAAAATCTTTTACAAAATAAATGATCTTAAAAAGTGATTGTCAGTAACAGCAGTGTGTACCATCTACAAGATGCACTTGCAGAAATCTGCTGCAGATCCTCGGATACTGTCTTCCAAGCCCTCGACCACTTCATCTATAGAAGGACAAGGGCAGCAGATATATGGGAACACCACAATTGGCAAGTTCCCCTCCAAGACACTCATCTTCCTGATCCAGAAATATATTGGAGTTCCTTCACTGTTGCTCGGTCAAAATCTTTGAATTTATACCTTAACAGTATTGCGGGCTTTCCTATAGCAAGTGGCCTGCAGCAGTTTAAGAAGGCAGCTCACCACCACTTTTTCAAGGACAACTAGGGATGGACGGTAAATGTTGGCCCAAACAGGAATGTTCACATTCCAAGGGTGAATTTAAAAAAAAAATGTTTAGCCGATCCAAGATTATTGCATAAACAGAATTAGATCAATGAGTCAATTAGAGTTCACCACATTTCTGATCATATACTTGGGGTCATGGCTAGCAAGGGTTAGAAAGTGATGGTTCTTAGTGGTTTGGTGCATTGGAGTACTTAACATTGAAGAACTTCAGTCTACAGAATAAATGACCTATGCCCAGTCAACTAGTGTTGTGAACAGCCATCCCCACAAAAAAAAGTTACTTTATTAATATTATTTCTTTTGTACTTAATAGTGATCAATTCCATAAAACTTGTGAAAACACATTTGTACGTGGAGTGGTGTATTTAGTGAGACTGGGGTACTTTAGATTGATTCTCTCAAACTTGGTCTTTAATTGTAGTTGACTTAAATCTCACAAATAAAGTTAAACTAAAATTGAAGGTGTTGCATTTTGCTACTTTGTCCATCCCTGGTCTTAGAATATCATAGGGGGTTGTTTACTGATATTTTTAAATGTTGCAGTAAGATGCACAAATAGCTATGCATACAATCTATCATTCCTAAGTTTAAACTAATTTCGCTTATGGGTTTTTCCTAACAAAGTACTGATCACAATTTGAATGCTCTCAGTAATTACTCCAAACTTTACTGATTCTTTTCTAACGTCAAAAAAATTAACTCAGCCACATTCAATGTAGCTAGTTTAAAAACTGGTATAAATGGTACAATTTTACTTCAGTGAATTAGCTGTCAGTTAATCCATGAAACAGTTCATCAGCAGCTGAAACAGACAAAATATTTTCATATTAAATATTATACACACTTGTATGGATCCTCAAATTTATAAAATTTTTCATAAACAGAGTACTAAAAGACACTGTATCAATTATAGAAATCAAAACAAATAGAAAACGGAATTGGAAAACACCCTTTTATTATGTCCGTGCCACACATACTAGTGAAAAATAATGCTCCTAAGAAAGAAACTACCCTTTTTCACAACATATTTAAATAAAATAACTTCAAGTACTTTGACTCAGGTACAAAAAATTTCTGATCTGAGCTGCCTCCAACAGGCCACTGCAAAGCACAGTGGTTACAAAGAGCCATTGTGTACCAGGTTTCGTGGCAAGGCAGATGGAGGGAAATGCATTATGAAAAATACTGTGTATAGGAAATTGTAATTTATTGTATGGATACAAATGATTACATTGGAATTTGAGACCACAGTGGCTCAAAATTATATAACAAAAATAGAAAATGGAAAACCTAATATCCCCTACACCCTGTTTTAAAGGCAGGCACTACCCAACATTAGGAGACTCCACAGTGTTTGTAGAGGATATGTACAAGCCATATATGTATAATCATTTTAACACTAAAATAAAATGCTACGGTTATTCTAAGGCATAACAATATTCAATGCCCGCAAACAATATGTACACATCATACATATTTGAACAAGACTTAATTAATATTAACATTAATGAACAATTATATACAGATGTTTCTTTGTTGATCCACTGTTCTCGAATTTACTTTGAGACTAAGTAGGTGGTGCATTGATAAGCAGATCTGTAAATTTACGTCTACAGTAACAACAGGTTCTCCAGTGTCCTTCCCGGACAGAACAGTGTAAACAATTATCAATTGGCTTTGTTTAATTATTCAAAAACATTCGTTGTTTTATTTCCTTGAAGATTTAAAGCAATTTTGCTGCCTCTTCCTTTTCATAGAAAATGAAGACTTGACATTTTACTCATA